ACCAAATTAGACATTACAGTGGTACCTCGGGTTAAGTACTTAATTCGTTCTGGAGGTCCGTACTTAACTTGAAACTGTTCTTAACCTGAATTACCACTTTAGCTAATGGGGCCTCCTGCTGCTGCCGGAGCACGGTTTCTGTTCTTATCCTGAAGCAAAGTTCTTAACCTGAAGCACTATTTCTGGCTTAGCGGAGTCTGTAATCTGAAGCGTATGTAACCTGAAGCGTATGTAACCCGAGGTACCACTGTACCTGATAGTTCCATGATTCATTCTTTCTTAAGAAGCAGATTTCCCCCATGAATCCCAAAAATTATCTAGTTCCAATTATCATAAAATTGCACCCATAAGTCTCTCCCCCCCCAATAGCAGTTTGGGGAGGAACCAGAAGCAGAGCATAGACACATAGATAACGGGTTGTATCCAATCCAAATCTCCCCCTTTCCCAGCTCACTGTACCAATATACAAAAATTTTGCAGGTAGAATCATTGTATAGATAGAAAAATGGGCAAAATTAGGTGTTATGTGCAAATTCTCTCTCTCTCTCTCTCTCTCTCTCTCTCTCTCTCTCTCTCTCTCACACACACACACACACACACACACACAAACACTTAAAGGCAGCCAACTAACTAGTCCTGAAAATTCAGACTAGTTCAGATCTTTAAGAAAATTTCCACATTTTAAAAATTAAAGCTCAATTGCTATTTCCACTTGCCTTTTACACAGTTTGTATTAGGAAGGACAGTTGCAGGATATGATACACATATCAAGTTTGAATGTAGCTGTAAAAAAATTCTTAATAGAACATAACGTAATTTTACCCCAGTAGATGTTAATAATACTAATTTTTGGAGCGTCTTTTACAGCCTTTTAGGCAAAAGACTACAGGATAATAATTATAAGAGCTCCAAACAACATTTTCTCATGTTAGGTCACCTCTAAACCATATGTATAAGAACATTTAAGTTTAATTTGCTTTAATGGACATGGCATATATTGACCAATGACTACACTTTTAAATCTGCTGCAAATGTGTATGAAGCCATCCAGACTTAGAGTCACATTAGAGCCAAATAAATGGTTTTACATTACTTATAATCATGTAATTTTTCTCTATAAAAGAAATACTTAAAAGCCAAATTCCGGTCAATGGCCAAAGCACTGCTGGCATGCTGAAAATGAAACAAAAATACAACCTTGAGCTATTAGATTTTTTATGATCCATAGAGCTCTGTCCTAAGAGCATTCCTTCAGGACCCACCGCAGTATATGATTTCTAAGATCACAAGGATTTGTTTTAAACCAGTCTTCTCCAATTTGGTGCCTTCTAGATGCTTTGGACTATAGCTTCCATCATTTCTGACCATTGGCCATGATGGTTAGGGCTGATGGGAGTAGGAGCCCAACAATATTTGGAGGACACCAGATTGAGGTAGGCTATTTTGAACACTTCTTCCTGAAGAAGCTGGCTGAACTAAGTGGAACTATTTGAAAGGCTGTCCTGTCACTACAATCATCAAAATAACATAATGTGTTATGCAAATGTAGAAAGTGAAAGGATGTGAGAGGGAAATGAGTTAATTTAGGGAAGCCCTGAGGTAACTTCCTGCCAGAAAAGCAAGTACAAATATGTTTTATTCTCTTCATTTCATATTATGCAAATAATGTACAAGCCTATCCAAAGATTATAAAGTTATTATTCTATCCCAAAAGGAATATGTGAGGTGGGACTATATTGCTATGCTGTTTGTTTGATTAATTTCTTTTCTTTTGTTACAGTTTTATTTTGTATTTAAAAATCAAATGAAATAAAAAGTTTAAACAATTAAAATTGGAAATAATATGCATACAAGGAGAAAAAGCTAACCTGAAATATGACCAATTAGCAACGTAATTTCCAGCAGAGCTGTCAACCTATTAAAGGCTTTTAGTTGATTAATGGCATTGTTTTTAACTGATCAATCCAAGTAACTAATTAAAATAAACATTACAGTGTGCAGTCCTTGACCATTGAAATCAATGGGAATTCTTCCATAGGCTTGAACAGAATCATAACTACAACCCTTCAGATCTCAGTGCAAGTATGTTTTCGCAAAGATAGCATGTTCCTTGAACTAATTGGCACAACTACCAGCACTCCACATCCTTTCATACTGGGCATCTCCAATTAAAATTTCACTGTAATTAATTCAGCAATTGATCAATTAATTGGATAATCCATTTCCTTGCTCTTTTCTTCATTATCGTAATGATAACATATGCTTAAAAGTTCTGCAGGGTCTCTTAAGATGACCAGGGGCCATACTTGCTGATTACTGAATATTGCCTATGAATATGTGAGGAAGTGATCATCTGTAGTCTCTGACTGAATTCAGCATCACTGCCTCCACTTTTCTACAGCTGTTTGGATCTGGAGCAGCATAGGATGGTAATGCTGGGATTAATCATATGTCTGAAGGTGACAGATGGCAATTTCTGCATTACCTAAGCCAACCCATATGCACATTTCACTGCTCATATGAGGTTTACCCAATATATCCAGCAAAGCATTAATAATATGGCCAGTCAGCTTCCATGAGTGCAGGTTGCTCCAAAACCAGAAGTCCCTACTCAAGGAATCTGATATATGATATGTGGGCCACCATATAAACATTACACTATTTGTGTGAGCACTTAAATGCACATGCCACCCATCTGAGGTGACATACAAACTCACTCAAGACAGCTTTCTGCGAAGAGTTGAACCAGAGTGTAAATAATGAGAGCAGAGAATGCATATTGTATGGAACCATTTTACAACTAGAACTTATGCTTGCACACGTCACTAGAATCCATGCAAAATGCCTCAAAGCTGTGCATGGGGATTTAGCTGCACAATGCTCATTAAGACATCCAACTTTAAGGAGCTCAAGGAAAGCAATGCTCAGTGGCTCAATAGATTTATTACAGAAACTCACCCTCTGCGTCTTCTGGCCTTGTAAGATCAATGACTCCTGGGCCTAGTTTTCCATCTTCACTGGGCTTCCCTGATAGCTGTGGCCCTAAATTCTCATAGCGTGTTCTTTCCTGCCGAAGAGAAAGGAACATTAAGATTTCCAGTCTGTTCATGTCTGAATATCTTGAGTGTATTCATTTTCTATTATACTTCCCTGCCCCTCTGGCTACCACCTGCACTTCCCCTGCCCTCCGTACTAATATGTCAGTCCTTTCTTGATTTCCACTTCCACATTTTCTTGTCCATCTAACAGCGGTTGCAAGTCATATTGGTAGGTAAATCTTTGTTCCTTACATTGCCCAATCCCACAATTGGTACCTAAGCATGAGCTAGTACTAGTAACAGATACAGGCTATTTTTTTTTTTAGAAAGAACACAGATATTGTTTCACTGCAGGTATCAGTTTTGAATTTGGTGTCCAAAATCTAGTTTTCAAATATGCAATACCCCCTCCAGTACTGATTAAATGTATGATGAATTAATATTCAAGCTAAGTTATCTTAGCACCATGGTTGACTCTTCTGTGGTGCTTGCTTCCTGTGCTGCTGAATTTAAAGTAATGAGGAGCCCATGTTGAAGGTGTCTACAAGATGATTATTTCCCACAGCAGCATGGGAAAAGAAGGGCGAAGATATGTGGACGTAGCAGCCCCACCACTTTGGTAATGTACAAACTGGCTTTTGGAAGTTAGCTTATTAACACCTTTGACTCACTAAATCTCTTAATAACAGAAAACCCACAACCACTATGTATTTTACTACACAATGAAACAAATAATTGTGTGGAAAATTAAATTGATTATTGCTAGGCAATAGCTTTAAACAACCCATTACAGCTAAGTATAAAGTAGGGCAGGTAGCATTACTGTGGTGTAGAAATGAAGGATTGCAGCAGAAGCTCTAGAAATTACTAAGAACACAAGAAGGAGATCCTGCTGGATGAGGTCAATGGTCCATCTAGTCCACCATCCTGTTCCCACAGTGGGTAATGCCCAATAACAATGCACAGTCCTATATTTCTTAAATGACCTTGGGAGAAAGATGTTGGCATTTGAAAAAAATGCTAAAATTCAAAACTTAAAAAGCACTTTCTACTAAAACTCGCTAATTTAATGGAAAAATCACCACCAGCACAACCACCACTCCTCTCATCGAGATATGCGTTTGCATTGGAACCCTTGAGAAAACACAAGTCTGAATTTTATGCAAGAGGCTTTCAAAGACAAGTATTTCAAAGAAGGAATACTAGATGACAGAAATGGTACTATTATTTTGTCTAGAAATTTGAACTGAAACTCAATGGGAATTTTAAAAGAGAGAGCAAGAAAAAGAAAGGGCTGTGTTTGTTCCCAGAATAAACAACATTTCTGTGTGCTGTAAACTTCTGCTGTAAAACTAGATCAAGAGACCATTTATGTCCTCAAAATATGAGAGGACAAGAGCCTTGAAACAATATGGCAGCACATATCTTCTGACAGTGGTAGCCTCAGTGGTACTCTGTCTGCAGCAACGTGCTAAATAGTTATCATTAATGTATTGTTCTCGTGGAAAAAAACCAATGTGTTCTCTCTCTTGTCTTGTTGATACTTCTTAAGACTGAACTTGGCATTGTGTTGAGAATGAACAAAACACTGTTGTTCATTACTATGAAACTATTAAATGTCATGTCATCTTGAATTTACAGACATGAAATGCCAGCTTTCAGTTTTGTGAACAGTTTTCTGTACGTTATACTTGATGCATTATGCAGAAGAAGATTGCTGATTGCTGTTCACTCTATTGTTCAATGACCTAGTTCTGTACTGAGCATATTACACATTAGAAGGAAAACAGTACCAAGTTTATTCCCTGAAGAATTGCTAAGGAACCTGGTATTGGTCTTAACAAGCAAAGTGGCTCTCACTCGTTTGCTCAAATCTCTCTGCGTTGGTTAGAATAATAGAACTGTAGCACTGAAATGGGACTTGAGGGTCATCTAGTCTAACCCCCTGCAACCCCCTCTTTTTGCCTAGTGCGAGGCTTAAACCCACTACCCTGAGATTAAGAATCTCATGCTCTACCGACTGAGCTATCCCAGGAGGGATTTGCTGTTCTAGTCAGATCGTTTTCAGAAAACAATTGCTTACTAATTAGTTCTCTGTAACCAAGAAGATGTTTAGATTCTTACAATATTGTTTAGCTAATATTTGGAGTATTAAGGAAAGATGCCAGGCACTGTGTAAAAATGCAGACTAAGCTGCTTTTCCAGGCCAGGTCATCATGTGGGGGGAAGTTGTTAAGTTGCTGATATCTAGTTATCAATACATCAAAGCAAGGTTTTCGAGTCTGGGCAAACGGAGGTTGCCAGGGTGGCAGTGGGCAATGATGTTAAGGGGGGGGGGGTATCTCGCAAGGAGTTTCCGGGAAGAAGAAGCAGGAAGTGGGTAGAATGCCATACGGGGCTGAAGAAGCAGCCATTGCCACAGGAACAGACAGCATGGCTGATTCATCTACTTGTAGATTTGTGCTGGCTGCTTCGGAGAGCAACAAAGGACTCTCTTGTGATGCTAGTGTTGGGAACTCTATCTAGATGCAGGTTGTGAATATGTATAAATAAACCATATTTCCTAAGACACTACAGCCTCTCTTCTGTGCCTTAATTTTCCAACGGAAACACAAACCCTGGTTTACCAAGAATCTTGCACCGCTGGGCAGACATTGGGGTGACTTGCAGTAATATTAAAATGTTTAAATAATAACAGACGGGGCAGGGGGTGGGAACCAACATTACACTAAATTGAAGTACAGGTGTTTACTGCATCACTCTGCTTGCATAACCTTAACATTCAACCATTTTCAATGTTTCTTGAAGTCTCCCATTTGCTGAAAAACTATATTGTCATTATTAATTGCCTACTATAAGGTGTATTGAACGGGACGCGGGTGGCGCTGTGGGTAAAACCTCAGCGCCTAGGACTTGCCGATCGCATGGTCGGCGGTTCAAATCCCTGTGGCGGGGTGCGCTCCCATCGTTCGGTCCCAGCGCCTGCCAACCTAGCAGTTTGAAAGCACCTTCGGGTGCAAGTAGGGACCGCTTACCAGCGGGAAGGTAAACGGCGTTCCGTGTGCTGCGCTGGCTCGCCAGATGCAGCTTGTCACGCTGGCCACGCTGGCCACATGACCCGGAAGTGTCTGCGGACAGCGCTGGCTCCCGGCCTATAGAGTGAGATGAGCGCACAACCCTAGAGACTGGCAAGACTGGCCCGTACGCGCAGGGGTACCTTTACCTTTTTATAAGGTGTATTGAGATAATGCTGTTGTGATATGCAAAAATACTGAAACAAAGAGCACTGAGAAGAAACGTAACTATTGGTTACAGGTAGGCAGGCACAACATTCAGTTGAAGAATGCTATAAGGTCCAATAGTAATACCTCACTATCAGAACGGATCTTGCTTTGCTGGTGCAAAGGAATGATTCTACCCCCTGTCCCCGGGGGACCCACATTTAAAATAGAAAAGTTGGATTAGACCTTTCTTTAAGTTCCTGCAGTTGGGAAGTAATTGGCATTTTGTACACTGTGTTTCTTTTCTTTCTTTTTTCTAATATTTGCATTTAAAATATTTCTATAAGGAGTGTTAATGTGACACCTGCAATTTTCATGGCAAAAACCTAAGTGTGTGCTGTGGGGGGGGGGGGAGGGAAAATAGCACTCCACTTAAAAAAAAAAATCAACAGAACCTTCTATATATCAATATGCACATTTGAAGTATCCTTCTAGTCATTCATTCCCTTTGATTTTCTCCAGAAAATATTCTGTGTTAAAAAGAAAGTTTCTGAAAGAATATCAATATTTTGACACTGAAAGAGAAAAGGGAAAATTACATGATAAGGCTCAGGAACTGGGAGGAAGAGAAGCGTACATGGTAATAATACCTAAAAGAATTGAGGTGAATCTATGATTCTGTAATAACCTTCAATGTCTCATTCTTTTGAAATATATTGACTGCTACAATTCTGTATGTATGGTTTCATTTTTCCACTTAAAAGTATAACTCATAGCAATAGGAACTAATTTTCAGGAAAGCTGTAAATAAAAAAAAATCTATTACAACATAATTGGTAAATACAAACCTAAGTGTATTTCTGAAGGTAAGAACAATTTAGACTGGACTCCTATGTATATATACTGGTACCTGACAGAAAGCCCAGTTGAACATAGGGGATTATTTCCAAGTAAACATACATAGGGATCACAGTCAGGTAAATAAATACATCTGTAATTGAACTAAACTAAGCAAATTATAAAGGAGTACAAATTGCAAATTCATTAATAGGAAATGCTCTGTATATTTAAAATACGTTCAGTTGTGTACGCTGTTCTCATGCACCTACCCAAATTCTATTTAAATTCCTATTTATAAGCATGCATGTCCATATGAATACATATTCATGTCTGAAAATAGCATATACTTGTGAAAATTTACACACACACTAAAAAATTACTTACTTAAAAAACCACACACCTGTCTTACACATCATAGAGATAGCTTATTTATCCTCAGGAAACCCTGAGCTCATTTTTTGTTTATTTCAAACTAAACTGCTTCTTGTAGGCATAAGGCCCTGAGCATATATCTTGAGTAAAGTAAGTACATTACGCCATGGGGCATAATGAACACAGAACAGAATTCTAACTCAGATCATGATTACTGGAAAACCAAGAGGGCTAATGCTTTTAAAGAACACAGTCTATGTCTAAGTACAAAATGGACTCTTGGCTACTTGGAAATATAGAAAAACCTACTCACTGCTACTTTCGTGGTTTTGGGATGACAACACACTGGGGCGGGATTCATTTTACTAACAACCAAACCTTCATTTTCCATTCAGTGACACGATTAGGCACTTATTTATGCATTGTCAGGCACAAACATGCAGGCAGCATAAAAGTTATTGAAAAAAAATTAAAGCCTGCTTCGCTGTGTCGCAGGACCATTGGTTAAGTGCTTTGAAATGATGATCTATGAGGTAGATGTTGCATATTAAATAAAGATATTTAAATGATAAAGCCCCCTTTAGTGAGCACTGATGAATGTTAAATGTTCCAAGCCACAAAGCTGAGCCATCCGTCATATTCACATGTTATCACAGTCAATGATGGAGCAACCCCAGTGATGACAGATGGACTGTGAGATTATTATCCCCTTATTTCCAGAGTCACCAAACCAGTCTCCTACTCAAGCATTATTTTTAACTTTGCATTAAATTAATAACTTCCTCCACACTTCTGTGGTGGGAATGATCAATGCTTTCCTCCTGGGTGTAAAAAGGAAATGGACTAGTGTAGTCAACTGAAGGAAGTAGGGGAAGAAGCCTGCTCATCCACTGGAAAAATCAGAGTGGGTGGCGGGGGGGGGGGGGGAGAGGGAGAGAAAGAGAAGGCTGCTGGAAACTTCAGCTAAGTAGAATAAATATAAAATTGTGATCTCGGGGAAGAAAAGTAATGATAACAGTAAGCACATAATAATGGCTTTTCTCTGCACTTAGGTAAAAGCTGAATTTTTGATGTGCACAATATATTTTCATAAAATTTTATATACTATGTTTTATACACTTATTGGCTATTCCATAATAATGTGTGCGCTAACAGTAAAATTGCTCCCAAATTTATGTGTGTTATTTATTCTTTCCCACGTAACAATGCTTTTTGTTGTAAAAAATATTCTGTTTATTAATGTAACTTTACAACCACTGCATCCAAGATCCGTGGTAAATTAATGACATTTTTATTATTTTATAGTGTCATTAAATTTTTACTGATCACTCCATCAAACAGAAGCCATAAAGGCCATAATGTAAACTGGGACACTTAGATCAGGGGAGCAGGAAACCATTCCATATAGTCTAAAGTAAACGGCTTGCTATAAATGATATTTATACCATCTTTAAGCATGTGAGAATACTTGGACAAGTTTGGCAAAACTGTTTCAGTACAGCAGTGGATTGTGTACTTAAATAACAGTTTATTTGCCAGCAAGGCAAGGGTTTGTGTGTGTGTTTTTAAACCATATGAAAGAAGATGACTGATTGCATTCATCGCTTGAAAAACAATATATGAAATGTAATAATACACCAGGCCCCCTCCCTTTTGGATTACCAAGACTGATCAGACTATAACCATTCCTCAAATTATTTCAACATGTCGCCCCCCCCCCTTGCTATGTATGCAGACTCTGAAGTGGAAAATGGCATACATAGTTGGACAGTGATGTAATACCTTTTATTTCAAGAGTCTAACTTAGTAGTTACCAACATTTATTTCAAGAGCCAATTTTGAGACTCCTTGTTAATGTGGGTCATTTACAGAAGCCACAGAGTAAATGCCTTTGGGACCGTTACACACTCTGCGGACAGTATTCCAGTTGCAAAGTGTGCAGACAATTCCAGGATGTTGTCTTTACATGCACAATACATTAAAGTTAAGCTATTCCATATTAAGCCCACTCAAGAAACAATAACACCAGTGTCTTGTTTCCCGCTTGTTCCTTCCCTAGACCATATTGGCTGAGTCCTGGAAGACCTTCCCAACTGGCCTGCGAAGGCAGGGCCCTTACCGACTCCAGCTACAAAAGCCAAGGCTGCTGAACAGACTTTTTGGTTAGGGAATTGTTTAAGGGGGCTGTTGGGGGGACAGTTGTGGCTGTTACTGATATTCATATTTTGTATCTACATTTTTAGTTGCTATGATTTATGTGAAATTTTTTCAGTTTGGTTGTGTACTTTTTGTGTGTTTTATTTATTGTTTACGACTACTTTTGTTATATTTGTAATTATGTACATTTTTTCATGTTGTGAGCCACCTTGACAGCATACAAATAAAATGTTTTATGTGTGTATGTATGTTCCTCTGTTCAAGTACAGATATAATAAATGAACAGAAGGGGAATGTTTTCAAAACCTATTTAGATATTTTTCTAGAAAAAGTGCTTGTCATTTCTACACTCATAGCAGAATTCTGTGGGCATTAAATCCCAAAACAATGGAGGACAAAACTCCAGACTTTTAAGCAAGTGGCTTAAGGTAGCCATGACAACATAG